CCTCCTTTCCCAGGATTTATTTATTTATTTATTAAATTTGTCCCCTGCCCATCTCCCCTCAATGGGGGACTCTGGGCGGCTCACAACACATTAAAACAATAAATAAATATACAGTTAAAACCTATAGCAATTCACATTTACAAGAATAAAAGGGAAAAAATCCAGGAGGCCGATGGTTCAAGGCAGCAATGCCAGGATTCAACGGATTCAAGTTATGTCGATGGATTTCACTGGCCATACTGCAGATGCCCCTGAGCCCAAGTTTCCTGGCTATAATTTATCTTAATCCCAACTTTCTGTTTGCAAACTGAGATGGACAATTTGCATCTGCCCATTTTCTTGGGGATATCTGGACATCTGGGTGGGAGGAGAGGGGAGGAAGTGACATCATGCATCATGAGTAACATGTTAAACAAGCTAATGCTTAATGCCATGGGTGAACTGATCCAATATTTTCAGTTCTTTGGTTTAGTGTTTCTCAACCTCGGCAACTTTAAGATGCGTGGACTTCAACTCCCAGAATTCCCCAGCCAGCCATGCTGGGGGTAACTACCCAAGGGGGTAATTTGGGCATATCCTGGGGGGAATGGGGCGATTCATTGGTGCTTGTCTGTGAGTCGAGGATCCAGTTTGGGACTGCCACTGCTGAGACAATTGTGTAAAACAACAGAGTCTGGTTTTTTTGGGAGGGTGAGGGGCGTCATGACATTATTTAAGACCAGGAAAAGGAAAATTGTGTCAGGCAGCTTAAGAACCGCCACCCTAGTAAGTTTAGCCTGCTTCTGCAGCCGTTTGCGAATGTCGTGCCGTTTCTGTTCTCCTGACTTCCTCGCTTTGGTTTTTGACTCATTGCTCCCAAACTGGGGTTTTGGTTCCTCTGCAGGCAGGGGTTCCACTACTGGGCTTTATATCAGCACTACCTCCCGAGGTCTGCTGCGGCCGGAGGTTGTGGTGGGAACTTGAGAGAGATGGGCGCTGCTCTTGCCCACGCCATTCTGGACTTCCTTCAGAGGTAGGCTGCTTTTCTGAAGCGTTTGCTTACTGGGGCAACGGAAGTCTAATGATGTGTTAAGCGGAGCACCAGATCTTTCCGCAACCAAATTATAGCCAATATCTGCTGCCTGTAATTAGTTCCGTGAAGCAAAATGCTGTATCTACCCATCTGATGCAATACAGTTGATCTTGCTCTTTACCTAACCACTCCTTCAGTGGTTTGGTTCATTACTAATGTGTTTTATTTGGGTTAGACCAGACTCCGTCCTATCTAAGAACAGATCTACTGAAGTCACTAAGTGACCTGGAATCAAGACTTGTTTTCCGACTATATCTAGATCTAGCCCATTAGATATTAAAATGTGTATCCCATGATCTGTTTTTTTCTAGCAAATGCCATGATTTCTCTTATGTATTCAGAGTTGTTTTTACATTGCTTTGAATTTTAGGACTGAGTCGGAAGCACGCGGTTTCCTAAAGAGCCCCACGTGTTCCATGACCCACACAAGAGGAAACCCTGATATCTACTGCAGATTTCAGGTGGTGTAGTTGTGTATGCTGTCTTGCATTTCACATCATTTTGCTGTGAATCTTTTTCCATGAGCTTTGGGTGGGCCTGTTTTCTTTTCCGCAAACGCTACGGCCAGGGGGCTTTCCAACCCACAAGCGTCAGGGCCCAGTTGCATTGCGGGTGGGCTGTGCCTGCCAGCCCGACCTGGCTCTTATCACCATTTGGATGAGAGTGCAGGAGGAAGCGCACCCACACATACCACTGCATTGAAAGGGGGCAGCTGGGGGTGGAATTCCAGCCGCAATCCCGTGGATTAGCTACAGGAGGATGAAGAAACAATCTCCTGTAGGGGCTGATGGACTGGAAAGCATCTCCAACCTAGTGCCCTCCAGATGTGTTGGACTCCCAACCCCCATCACTCCTGGCCAGGCTGGCCAAATGTTGTGATTCCATCTGGCTGCATTGCAGGAGTCACTGTGAAGCTGCTCCATCAGCCTGGCTGGGACAGGCATCCCTCTCCACCCACCCACCCACCCACTTCTCTCCCAGAACCTTCTTCAGCAGTGTGTAGGGCGTGTGTAATTCACTGCAGAACAATATGAAAAAATGGCTGTCAGGATTTGCACGTTTTCTTTCCCTGTTACCTTTCCAGTGTTTCTGCGTTATGGTACTTCAAGCCGTTACGTCAGTCTGTGGACTGCCTCGGATACGTAATGGATTTCTCCAGTTGCCTTCACCTTGGACGCCCTGCTTCGTAGAGGCGAAGCAGCCTTAAAAGCCGTTGTCTTGATTTCAGGAGCTGGTGCTGGAGCTGGAACTGGAGTGCCGGAGGGCCCTGCCGGGTGCCTCCGGCAGAGAGGAGCCCTTCCTGTTCCAGGTGTTCCGGGAGAGGCTGAAGACTCTGGGAACCGGGCCTGCTTTGAGGGACAGGCTGCTCCGGCAGCAGGAGCTGCTCTTCCAAACAAGGTGAACGCACAGGGA